TGGGCCTTGCCCATGGGGTGGATGAGTACATCACCTGTGCTGGCCTGTGTCCCCACAGAGGGAGAAGGGCTAGGAGGAGTGGCAGAGGGTACCAGCTTCCCACCCCAGGAGCCACTGCGCAGTCAGCAGGTGAAGACAGCCTCTGCTGGCCCCCCTGCAGAGCCACACTGCTGGCCAGCGGAGTCTGCCTCCCAGACAGGCGCCGAGGCCACCTGCAGCCAAGGTAAGGCCAGTCTGGAGTGGCCCAGTACTGGCTCCCATGAGGCTGCTTCACAGCTGGCAGCCAAGGGGGGCTTCCCTGCCGAGGCTCTGGGCCTGGGAGGGCTGGCCCAGGGGAGGCCTAGTGGAGATGAGGTGGGAGGAAAGGCAGAGTGGGCAGAGGAGCAAAGGAAGAGCCCAGGCTGGAGTGTGGTGTGGTCCACTGTCAGCGTCTCCACAGCCTCTCCTCTACCTCTGGCTTCACTCGTAGAGGAGTTCTGCTGAGGCAGACATCTCACGTGGGCCTCGTGGCTGTCAGCTCACTGCAGAGCCCAGATGGGGTAGGAGAGGGGCAGGCATGGAACAAGGACCCTGGGCTCCATCACTGAGACATCCTCATGGGCAGCCAAGACAGAGTTTCGCCCCAGCCTCTGTCTAGCCTGTTCCCACCGCATGCCACACACCCAGCTCCCTCAGGGACTCCTGCTGGCTAGGCTTCCTACAGACCACTCAGGACAGCAGGACCTGGCGCCAGCCAGTGGGGACCGGGCTTGGGCTCTTAAGTAAGCCCCACTCCTTTTAAAGCCATGGCTGCAGAGGAATGTGGAGCCCTGCCAGGGCAGCTGGGTCACTCGGCTTGCACAGCTCCCTGGAGGCTGCTGGACCCCAGAGTTGCAGCCTGCCACTGCCCCAGCTGCCTCCACGCTCTGGGCAAACATAGCCCCTCATTCACCCTGGAGTGTGAGAGGAAAGTGGGCACTCTGAGGCCAGCTCAGTGACCATACCTGGCTGAGTGTCTGGCTGTGGGACTCAGTGTCCAATCTGTGGTATATAGGATGTGTGTCCTGGAGTGATTTGATGGATACAAGTCATGTAAGCACAATGCCTGAGGGGCCCTGAGAAGGCTCAGGGAGGCTCCCTTGTGTCTCAGGTCTTGGACTCCCAGAGTACACAGTACATCTGGGTGGAGGTCACAGCCCCAGCACCCCATACCCCAGAGCCAGAGTTGAGTCCCTTTGGGCCTGAGCTGAGCACTTGCTCAGGATGGAGGCCTGGGGGCCAGCATGGGCCTGCATACCATTCTGAATGTGTTGGCCATCAGGCCTCAGACCAGCAGACCAAGAGAAGCATCTGTGGCAGCAGGGAGGAGGTACTCTAGATCCCTCTGTCTTCCAGAGGGAAAACAGTCATGAGCCGGGGAGAGACGGGCAGTCCCTGGAAGCTTCAAGTGAAGCTCAGCCCCTGAGGTCTCTCCCCACAGCTGCCAGCTCCAAGGTCCCCAGCAGTGGGAGCACCCAGCCACCAGAGGGCCATCCGGGTAAGGTTGAGCCCAGCCGGGCCAAGTCCCGCCTCCTGCCCAACATGCCAAAGCTGGTAATCCCCTCAGCCACCACCAAGTTCCCCCCTGAGATCACCGTTACACCGCCCACCCCGACCCTGCTCTCCCCCAAAGGCAGCATCTCGGAGGAGACCAAGCAGAAGCTGAAGGTGAACATGGGTACCATGTAAGGGGAACCAATTACAGGGAACCTGGGGGAGGGGAATCTGGGTTACCTGGGGACCTGGGGCAGGGGCTTGGGTTACTGAGGCAATAGGGGGTGGTTCAAGTTAAAGTCAAGAAGCCTGGGGCAGGGCTGCACACTCCTGACCTGGGTCTTGCCCTGTCTTTAGTCGGCCATCCTGTCTGCCCAGTCGGCTGCCAATGTGAGAAAGGAGAGCCTGTGCCAGCCAGCCCTGGAGATCCTAGAGACATCCAGTCAGGAGTCCTCACTAGAGAGTGAGTCGGATGAGGACGATGACTACATGGACATCTGAGGAGGGCCAGCAGCGTCCACAGCCACACCCTGGAGGACCAGCCAGGCCTAGAATGCCCCTTCAGCCTGGACCCTGGGCAAGGCCAGAGGCTCACATGGGGCACATTTCCCCATGAAGCCTCTTGGCATCCTCCCTCCCACGTGGGCTGTCCACACCCACCAGGTGGGACTCAGAGGAGAAAGAGGAGGTGGCCCATCTCAACACATGAGAATGGATTGGTTTCGATCTTCACAGCAAGCCTGGCATCCTTTTCTATGAAATGTTGACTTTGTAAATGTGCCCACACCCAGCCCAGCCAGCCACATCCACAGCTGGACACCAGAATGAGCTGGGCTCTGCCTGGGTCCCAGTGGTGGGATCTTCTAGGGCCAGTCTTTCTCCACATCCTTTTTTGGTTTCTTTTCTAATAAAGATGAAACAATGGTCTTTGCCTCTTTGCTCACTCCAGGCTGGGAGGGGCCTGGGGCCTGCCTCAAGGGTTTGTTGTACCCAGAGTTCTTGGACCTCACATCCCCGAGGGCACCCCAGAGATCAGCAGGCTGGGGTGCAAGGGGCATGGGATATGTGGAGAGCAGGGCATACCCCTTTGGCAAGGCTGGAGCTGGGCCGAAAAGGGCATCAGGGCCATCCCTAGAACTCACTGGAGTGCAGGGGGCTGGGATGCTTTAGGGAGGCAGGGCTCAGGCTATGCTGAGCAGCTGCCAGTGGGACAATGGGGAGGGGCACCAGGAAGGGGAGGGAAGCCAGGAGTGGTGGCACATGCCTAGAGTTCCAGCCATTCTGGATACTGAGGCAGAAAGATACAAGTTCAAGGCTCAATTTTCACTTAGTGAGATCTTGTCTCAAAAAATAAAGGGATTGGGGATTTATCTCAGTGATACAGCACTCACCTGACAACATGAAGTTTGGTCCCTAGCACCAAACCAAAAATAATGCTAAGACCACAGTCTCTCAGCTGTAAGAAATAAAAATGGAGAAAAAAGCAAAAGCTAGGATCTCTAGACAGCAAAAAATGGGATTTTAAAAAATAAAGAGGGCTGGGGATGTAGCTCAGTAGGGACACTTGCCCAGCAAGTATAAATCTTAGATTCTGTCCCTAGTCCTAGGGGGAAAAAAATGGAAGGAGGGGGACTTAATTCCCACATTTCCCATCAGACGCCCCACAACAGTAATAGCCCCAGGAGTTGTGGCACTCAGCAGCTTGTTGGTTTTTTTCTTTTTACAGTATTCGAAATGAAACTCAGGACCTTCACACTGAGCCATTTCCCCCGTCTCCCACCCCTCCTTTGTTTGAAATCAGGTCTCACAAGTCACTAAGTTGACCAAGCTGACTCCAACTTGTGATCCTCCTGCCTCAGCTTCTCAGAGTGCTGGGATTATAGGCATGTACCACTAACTTGTCCGAGCAATTTAATGAGGGGCACGTGCCTGTAGTCAGAGCATTCAAGCACATGAGGCTGAGGCAGGAGGATCGTGAGTTCAAGCACAGCCTGGACTAGAGTGAGACCCTGTCTCAAAAATAAATTAAAAATTTAAAAAACACAGCATTAAGCCTGTGATGATGGCCCTCAGCCTTGTGCCTCTGATGTGCTGGACACTCATTTAACATCCAGGAGAAAAGTGACTGGGTGCCACCCTTTGTTCCCAGCCCAGGCCATTTGGAACCAGAGTCATGGTGGCCTGGGATGTCCTGGCTGGACAGCCATCTGAAGCACCAAGAAGTCAGCAGGTGGTTAGTCAGTGCCCACACTCCTCCCTCGGTGGTAGGGGGCGCTCTCAACCCTGGACCTGGATGAGTCTCAGGATCAGCCCAGGCTGAGGGCCAGGTTCTATGGCTCGGTGCCCTGTGGCTAAGGGGGTTTCTCCCCTCTGACAGGTGAGGGCCTTGCGGAGTCCACCAGATGCTTCTGTGGGGTGAAGATAGAGCATGGAGGTGGGCCTACCCTAGGAGTAGCTCTGCATGGGAGACCTGTTCCAATTCCCCCACCACAGGCTTCCTTTGATATGTTCATTAGGAGCCACCCTGTGGGGCTGGACTCAGGAGCCCCACAGGTGGCCACCAACACCAACTGGCGCCAGGTAGGCACAATTAGGCAAGAGAAGTGGCAAGGCCCTGAGAACAATGGGCTGGCTGGGCTCCAGATCTGAAGCAGGTCACAGCCCAGATGGTCTCAGCTCATGCCCCTTGGGGCCAACTCCAGCCCCCGGGAAGTTATTGAATATGCCCTCTTAGGTAGGACACCTTGAGAAGCTGCAACTGGGAAGGGACACCTGCCTGTCCTGATGTCCAACCCACCTGGCTCTGGAGGTTCTCAAGCCACCAGGGGGCTGACTTGGCCCCTGCCTCTCTCCCTCTGGGCTTCAATTTCCAGTTCTGTGTAAGGACTGGGGAGAACTCTGAAGAGAATATGCAGATTATGTGGGTGAGTGCCGTGGGCGGTTGTGGCTAGGCCAGCCTGGAGTTTCTGGGCTCCCCACGGAGCCTGTGAATGGGCCTAGGCACCTCCCTACACTCAACACCTTCCACTAGGCCAGTCCTGGCCTCAATGCAGGGCTCCTAGGAGGAACTGGCAACAGCCCTCCCAGTGGAAAGCTGAAGACTGAGGATGTAAGATCTGCCCCAAGAGCACAAGGCCTGGAATCCTGCCACCCTTCTCACCCACCCAGCAGCATCCCATCCCCTGCAAGAGCCCCGCCCTGCAACCCCAGACTGGGCCACAACCCAGGACCGTGCTGCAGCCTGTGGACATCCCTGGCTCATCACTTGTCAAAGGTCCTGCAGCTGAAGGCTCCAGCCTCCTGCCCTCGAACAGGGTCCTGGGGCAGAGGTTCAGCCCCCTCCCTTTTATCCCCTGCTGTTGGGCCAAGAATGTGCTAACAGGGCAGGTCAGTCCCTGCTGGGCCACGAAGGCACCTGTGGACTTTGAGAGGGTTCAGAGCGAGCGGGGAGGAGCAGGGAGGGGCGGTGCCGCAGAGCTCCAGGCAGGCAGGCAGGCGGGGCCAGGCCAGCATTAGGAGTGAGCGAGTCTGTCTGCTGCCTCCAAGCAAGCCACTGCACTGCTGACTGCAGACACAGGCCTCACCATGAAGCTGATCCTCCTGACCTGGGTGCTGCTGCTGCTGCTGCTGGCGACAGTCCCCGGCCCAGGGCCCAGGCCTACAGCAGGTATGCCCCCATCTTGCCCTTCTGTCCCCTTGTCTACATGTCCATCTGTCTGATCAGCCAGGCCCAGGGCAGACACCCCTCGGGGCTCAGTCTTTGTCCATCTGTTAGGCCATCTGTGGCTGTGCATGGGGACAGCGGGAAGAAAGTCTGAAGCCACAGGGTTGAGGGGCCTTCTGCAGGGAAAGGAAGTCTGGGCTGAGCCCTCCCCACACCCGCTAGGAGCTGAGAGGCCTTGGCTGCCTGGGAGGGAGCCAGGGTAGAACAGCAGAGCCTTTGGGCAGCACCCCAAGCTCCAGTGGAGGCTGACTGCATACAGGCATTCCCTCCCCACTCCCCAGACATCCCTAGGCAAGATAATGGGTCCTCTTCAGGGTGGGACTGAACTCCAGAGCTGAGACCTCGGCCCCAGGCTGAGCTGGGCATCACCAACCCACAGTCTCCCATCTTCTGTCTGCAGGGAAATGTCACCACCATCCTCCTGCCCCTTTGATTTTACTTAATGGCATTTCCAAGCCTCTTCCTTGCAGCCCTTGAGCCATCATATCCTTGGCCAATAAATATTTATTGCCTGTCTTAAGTGCCAGGCACTGCACTTAGTGAAGTAGGCCCATAGGAGTGGCGCAGACCCAAGCCTGGCCCTTCACTAGTTGGGGGCATGGTGAAGGGCCAAGTGGGATGTGTCTGAGTGCTCAAACCCCACTCCTGTCTCCACTCTCCAGCTCCACAGGGACAGATATCTTGAAAATGGGACTGTGCCACAGGTCCCCGTGGCCCTTGGGAGAAGGCTTGGGGCTGATACCACAGTTTCCTTCGGCAGACTCCTGACTACCCTTTCCTCCTTGGCTGGGCTCCCTGCTGCAAATGTTTCTTACCCGCCCCGAATGAATGAAACATCAAGCCTGGCATGGTGGTGCACGCCTATAATTCCAGCACTCTGGGAAACTGACCCAGCAGGTCCACAATTTCAAGCTGGGCTTGGACAACTTAGACCCTGTCAGGAAGGAAGGGAGGGAAGGAAAGACTGAGGGAGACAAAGGGCTTGGAACATAGCTCAGTGCAATCCCCAGTACCAAAAGAAAACAAAACAAAAAAGGCACATCCTTGGCCTTCTCCCCAGCAGTGAGGCTCTATGGCATTCAGTTGTTGCCCCCTGGGAGAATGAGGTGGGTCAACCTCAGTGGGGCACCATTCTTTCCAAGGCCTTGAGTGGGACACTTAGCCATTATGTGAGCTAGAGAATTTGGTGGCTGAGGGTTGGTCAAGCCCTGGGGGCAATTCCTAGCCTTGCCTTTATCTCATTATATTCTAGCCAAGTACTAGATTGATTATCTTTGTGAAGATTGACCACATCCCTTTTCCATTGTGTCAGCTTGGTGGTCAGGGCAACCCAACCAGTGTTCTCCTGGGAAAGCATCCTTCTAAAGGACTCTAGGGGAATAAAGACTGGCCCTACCCATGGGGTGGCCACCTAGCACACATCTGGTCCAGGTGCTCAGGGCTGTCTTCTCCAGGTGCTCGAGAGAGCTGCTCCCTACGCTGTGGGGACCGGAATGGGACCTGCTCCTGCCACCCGACCTGCTTAGGCCTTCACACCTGCTGTCTAGACTTCCATGACTTCTGCCTGGAGATCTCACCTTCCTCGGGCTCCATGATGGGTGGCAAGGACTTCGTGGTGCAGCATTTCCAGTGGTTGGGATCCAAAGGAGATGTGATCTGCAGGTGGGAGGACTGAGGGGCTGGGCCACCTGGGTCCCCACACTCCCTGTGCTTCCAGCCCCGTGTACGAAAAGGGCCCTGACCTCCTGGTTGGCTGGGTGGAGCCCTGACACCAAGGACAGGCAGGAGGGCACAGGGACAGCTAGCTAGAAACTGGGGGACCCAGGCCTTGAAAGGATCAGCTCGTACCAGCCCAGCCACTCCTGCCATCTCTGCAACCCCAGGTTTAAGGACAGCATCGAGGTCCTTGGCCATGTGGACTCCTTGGGGCAAGTGCACTGCGTGTCACCCTTGCTCTATGAGACTGGCCGCATCCCCTTCACCATCTCAATGGACAGTGGCCACTCCTTCCTTCGTGCAGGCACCTGGCTGGCTGGTGAGCCCCCACCCAGCCAAGCCAGTTTAGCCTGTGGGCCCCAGACCCCACCTTCCATGTGCCCTAGTTCCCACCCAAAGTCTGAGCCCATGGGGACTTTCCCCAATGCTAATATATGCATATAGAGACTTGGTCCACCCACCTGCTCCTCTTAAACTGGTCCCTTGGGTAGGAGCTCCCACAGCTCATTACTCAACTCCTTCCCTGGCAAACAGAAGTCCCAGCCCAAAGTGGGTGGAGCCTGCAGGGTCCCCAAGCCAGGTGGGCCTCTGCTCTGCCAGGCCAGGTCCCTGCTTCTCCATCCTTGGTGTCCTTTCCTCCTTGGGGCCTTGGTAGAGCCCATAATCCAGCTATTTCAATAATGCTTTGTCCTCAGGAGGCCCCTGGGACCTCAGGAACCCCTGGAACCCCATTTCCTGGGCCTTTGGTCACCTCTCACCTGTCCCTGTCTAGCACACCCTTACAAAGTGTCGCAGTCAGAGAAGGGCCAACTGGTGAACGAGACCCGCTGGCAATACTATGGCACCCCAGGCACCACCACAGGGAACCTCAGTCTCACCTGGAACACCTCAGTGCTGCCCACGAAGACTGTCGCCATTGAGCTCTGGGGCTACGAGGAGACAGGTGAGGCCAGCCAAGTGCTGGTAGAAGCATCAGGAATTTTGGACTCCAAGAGATGAGAAAAAGGGACCCCTAGGTGTGTAAAGGGGACAGAGTAGCGATGGGGACTTCCAGAGAGAGAGGAAATGAAGAAAATTCCAGCCAGGAACTGGGGATCTGGAGCAAGGAATGTGCTGCAAGGGAGAACAGCGGGAGTTTCCACGAGACTGAGTGAGGGGAGGGGCATGGAGAGACCCCTGTCCACTTGGGGCCCCAGGTCCAGCAGGAGGTTTGGGTGCCTTGGCCCTTGGAAGGGATGTTTGTGCTGAAGGCTTGGTGCTTGGAAAGGAGACCTCGGCACTGCATCTAGGTCTGTTGATTGACATTCTGTCCATCTGTCAGGCCTCTTGCCAGAGACTGGGGCCAGGCCCATCCCCTGCCCCAGGGATCCTCAGAGGGGTCCTAGGACTCACCAAGGCCTTCTCTCCCTCAGGGAACCCGTACTCAGGGAACTGGACATCACAGTGGTCATATCTGTACCCCCTGGCCACAGATGCCCCCAACTCTGGCTTCTTTACTTTCACTCCCAAACCTGCACTTGCCGCCCATCAGAGATGGAGAGTAGGCGCTCTGCGGATCATCTCCAGCAAACACTACAGAGGGGAGAAGTAAGGACCACCGTGCAGGGCATGAGTTGGGGGCTGTCTGCCTAGAGACTTCCGTGCTTGCTAGGAAAGCCCCGGGCCAGGGCAGCCGGCTGTGTGGTATGGCCCAGCCCTTAGCTAGCACATCTCCACCGCTTCAGGGATGTGCTGGCAATCTGGACCAATGATCATGCACTGGCCTGGCACCTGGGTGATGACTTCCGGAACGACTCAGTGCGCTGGGCCCGTGCCCAGTGCCTGGCCTGGGAGGAGCTGGAGGATGGGCTGCCCGACTTCCTAAAGGAGCTGCCCGACTGTCCCTGTACCCTGGCCCAGGCCCAGGCTGACTCTGGCCGCTTCTTTGTAAGCCCCTGTACCCATCAAGGCCCAGGAGGGGGGAGGGGGCAGGGGCAGGGCCAGCCTCCCCAACTGAGGCAGACAGAGGCCTTCTGGAAGTGAGGTTGGGTGTCTAAGGTCCCCCAGTGGGTTGGTTCCCAGGGAAGGAGAGGATTTAGCACCCAAGTGACAGCCACCTGCCACTCTGCAGGCAGACTACGGCTGCGACATTGGGCAGGGCAGCGCTTGCACCTACCATCCAGGGGCTGTGCACTGTGTCCGCTCTGTGCAGGCCAGGTGAGCCACTGGACTGGGGATGGGAAAGAGGGCAGAGGCCGGGGTCGGGCTTCCCGCAGAGGCTCTGACTTGGCTGCATCCCCAGCCCCAACTACGCCTCCGGCCAGCAGTGTTGCTACAGGAAAGATGGCACCCAGCTCCTGACAGCTGACTCCATCGGCGGCAGCACGCCTGACCGTGGTCATGACTGGGGCGCACCTCCATACCGCACGCCACCCCGCGTGCCCACCTTGTCCCACTGGCTCTATGATGTCATGAGCTTCTACTACTGCTGCCTCTGGGCACCTGAGTGCTCCCGATATATGCGGCGGCGGCCTTCCAGTGACTGCCGCACCTACCGGCCCTCACGCCTGGGTGGGTACCAGCCTGGCACCAGCCCCAGGGAGAGTAAGACAGGGTCAGGTGTGGGGGAATCATTAGCTGACCCTCCATTCTCACCCCAGCCTCTGTCTTTGGGGATCCCCACTTCCTCACCTTCGACGGCGCCAACTTCACATTCAATGGGCGCGGCGAGTACGTGCTGTTGGAGGGGGAGGCGGACAGGAAGGACCTGAGGGTTCAGGGAAGAACGGAGCCTGCGACAATGACCAATGGTGAGTGAGGCTAAGGCTCCGTGGGTGCTGGGTGCCCTGAGTCATCTAGGGTAGGAGGCAGGAGCCAAAGTGACCCAATTCACACCACCCTCCCGCCAGGCACCCAGGCCCGTGGCACAGGGCTGACGGCAGTGGTTGTACAGGAGGGCAGCTCAGATGTGGTGGAAGTTCGGCTGGCTGGCGGGTCTGGGGTCCTGGAGGTGCTGCTGAATTCCGAGGTGCTCAGCTTTGCCGAGGTGGACTGGATGGACCTGAAGGGTGAGTAGGAAGCCCAGGCAAGGTCAGCAGGCTGCCCAGTGGCCGAAAGTCCTTGGCACAGCCAGGGCAGGAGAATCAGGGCCCTACCTAGCCTGAGGTCTGGTTTTAGACCTTCACAACTCCAGAGGTGCCCATGTCACACCCCAGGGCCTGCTCAGAGCTGTGAGTAACCAGGACTGTGGGATGGGTCCTGGCTACAGCCCAGAGGAGCCCAGAGGCCATCGTAATGAGGCTCACCATTGGCCAGCACAGCTTCACTCCTGGGCAGTGGCCCTTTGTCCCATCCATGACATTCACTGCAGGGAAGCCAGCCCTGCAGGGTGAAGGATGTAGCTTGGAAGTGATGGCCAGCAGTGGCAGCTCCAGGGTCTGGACCCCTTGTCATGGCTGTGCTACCTCAGGGAACTGAATGAATGAAATGGTCCCCAGGGGGTGTGCAAGGACCCTCAGGGAGGGCACAGGCCTTGGCATGGGGGTTCTGCAGAGTCTGGGCATCTTGATTCCATCTGGGATCCCAGTGAACTTGCAGGCAAGGGATGGGAGAAGGTCATAGTTATCAGGTTGGGAGGCCAGGGATTTAGCTCAGTGGTGCCACACCTGTCTCGAAAGTGCAAGGTCCAGAGTTCGATTCCCAGTACCAAAAAAGAGTACATTAACAGGTTGGCCCTGAGGATGCCCTCCCTTCTCCCCATCTGCTTCTGGAGCTGTGTCAGAGGTTGGGGACACCAAGAGGGTGTCCTTGACCCATGTCCTCCTGTGCCTAGGCTTGTTCCTGTCAGTAGCTGCTGAGGACAAAGTGTCAATCATGTTGTCATCGGGGGCTGGCCTGGAGGTCAGCATCCAGGGCCCTTTCCTGAGTGTGGCTGTCCTGCTGCCTGAGAAGTTCCAGAACCACACTCGGGGCCTCCTTGGAACATTCAATAACAACCCTGCTGATGATTTCACCCTGCGAAGTGGGAAGGTCCTTCCTCTGAACGCCAGTGCCCAGGAATTGTTCCAATTTGGGGCTGAATGTGAGTGACTCCATGGAATATGCTGGGCAGAGTGGGTGCTGGGGAGGGGGAGCTTTGCCAGGGGGAGGCCTGTGGATCAAGGGGAGACCCCAGACCCTTGTCCACCAAAGTGCTATGCCCACCCAAGTGTGCTGTCTGTCTTCCCAGGGGCCGTGCACAACGCCTCCTCCCTGTTCACATATGACTCCTGGGTCTTGGTCAGCAACTTCCTGTACAAACCCAAGCATGACCCCACCTTCAAGCCCCTCTTCCCCAATGAGATTGTCCTCAGCTCTGGACAGGCAGAAGAGGCAGCCAAGCTGTGTGGGGATGACCATTTCTGCAAGTTTGATGTGGCGGCCACTGGGAGCCTGAGCATGGGCAATGTGACACGGAAGGCCCACCAGATGCACTGCGATCGCCTCCAGAGCCTGCAGCATGGTGAGGGTGGGGGAAAGGGAGGCCTGGGGGAGGGGATGGGTAGCTTGCACTGAGACAGTGTCCTCCAGGCTGGCCAGTGACATGCAGTGGCCAGCAGTTCAGGGCTGTCGTCTTTGCTCTGCCCCCATCCCAGAGGTATCCTGTGGCTGGCTGGCCGCCCCTTCCAATGGCCACAAGGAAGACTTCAAGTACCTGATGGGCTCTACCATCCGCTTCCACTGTGAGAGTGGCTACAGCTTGGCTGGAGCAGAGACCAGCACCTGCCAGGCTGATGGCACCTGGTCCGCACCCACCCCACAGTGCCAGTTAGGTGAGGATGCCCCCTCCCGGTGCTCCCTCCAGCCCCTGCATGCCAGCATGCCTGAGAGACCTTCAGCACCTTTGCCCTCTTGCCAGGACGGAGCTACACAGTGCTGCTGAGCATCATCTTTGGAGGCCTGGCGGCGGTGGTGCTGGTCACTGTCATCTATGTGCTGCTGCGGCGCAGGAAGGGCATGTGAGACTCCACCTAGGAGGAGCCCCCCACCCCACTGCCCCATGGATCCCCCAGTCGATGCCCCTCTTCAGCCCTCTTGGGACCCTGGGGGAGCCGGTGGTTATTTGCCTGCTGCAAGCTGCATCTCTATTGCAGGAACCTGTGGAGTTCTCATCCCTGAGACTGGAGCACACTCGGGCAGCAACACAGGTTCATGTCAGGGTCACCAGGACCCAGACTCCCAGGAGAAGGCTGTCTAACAATCACATGTACACCAAGTCTATGGTTTCCAGATCCCTAGAACTAGGCACCCAATACCTGGGTTTTTAATTCCTGTGGACCCAAGACCCAGTGCCTGATCCATCTCAGCTCTGAGGCACAATGCCTGCACCTTGCTTTGTTCCCCTATTACTCAAGGCTGTAATTCCTTAGACCTGAGACTTCATACTCTGGAATTCTAATAGCTGTGTCCTGAGCCCTAACACATCTGTATCAGAAACTCAAATTCCAATACCTCACTCCCTGTAGCCTGGTGGTGACCCTGATCCCTGACAGAGACCTGCCCTCCTCACCCTGTGGGGCCCCCCAATGCCAAGGCGCTTTGGATTTTGCACCTCCAGCCCAGCCTGAGACCCCTGGTGGGCCCAGCCCCAGGGCGAGGAGAGGCCTTAGGACCCCTAGCAAGGACTGCAATGATGGGAGGAACCAAACTCCACACTCCACACTCCGGGTTTATATTTCTACCTCTTCTGGAATGTCGCTTGGTAACACCCCTCCCTGTCTGTATGAGGAGAAAACAAGCTCCCTGTGTCCCTTCCTGGTGTCCTGGTGCTCATTCTGGGCCTCACTTTGGAGAATCACCCACCCAGCACCAGGGTCTGAGTCCTGCCTGCTTCATCTCCCTTGCCCCCCTGTTACTCTCCTCAACCCCTCTCTCTTTATGTGTAAGATGGGATTAAGAACAGTGACACCCCCAGCCCCAGCGGGATGTGGTGGTTACACCTATAATCCCAGCACTCTGGGAGAGTCCGAGGCAGGAGGATCATGAGTTCAAGCCCAGCCTGGGCAATTTATTTTCTTAATGAGACTTTATCTCAAAATAAAAAATTCAAAAAGGACTGGAGATGTAGTTTAGAGTGAAAATCCTGCATCCAACCCTAGTGGTGATGGAAAAAAGCCCAACAGTGACCCCTAGTGGCGCAGGGATGAAGAATGATGGGAGAAAAAGGCTGGGCAGAGGGTATCACATAGAGTGCTCTGGAGATTGGAAGGGACAGACTGGGCCTAACCACGGCCGCCCTCTCCACTAGGTGCCTACCCATTCCCCTGCCCTGGTATTCCTTGAGAAGAGCTGCCTACCCTGCAGCAAGCAGGCATAGCCTGGCCTGGGCCTTCGACCCTGCCCCTGGCACTTCTCTACAAAAGACAGCTCCTGGGCCGGGAGTCACCACTAGGAGGCCTATGCCGAAGTCCTCCAGTGAGCAGGGGCCATGTTCTTTAGCTCAGGGATGTGCAGAAGCGAGGCCCAGAACCAGGCCTCATGCCTCTGCCACCCACTTGAACACCTGCTCCCCTGAGCAGCTCCTTACCTGCCCCTCCTCCGGGCCCAGGTATGACAGGAATGCTATGGAACCTCTTCAGCACAAACATGGGCTGAAGTTCTCCCTTGCGGAGAGGTCATGGAATGAAGGCCCAGCTGGGCTGTACGGGGTAGGAGAGGGTCAAAAAGGTGCCCTCAGACGGAAAATCTAGACGGGGACTTGAGCACAGGCCTCAGTGTGACTTGCAATGCTGGTGAGGCCACACGGGGACAGCATTGGGTAGAAACAGTGAGTGGAGGTTGTGCCACTCCCAGCTGGCTGGGGAGGGAAGTCAGCCGCCTCCTTGCAGCTGGGCCTGCAGGCTTGGTCGCGACTGCAGCCAGACAGAGTTCATGCACAGCTCATCCCTCCTTACCTAGGAGGGCCACTAGGTCCCCCCAGTCTCCGGATTCTCAGGTTGCACATGTTGCCCTGCAGTGAGTGGCACAACTTGCCCAGTTGGCACTGATCAGAGTCCAGACCTCTCCTCAGCCTTGCCCTTAGAGAAGGGTCCCGGAGAGCAAGAGAAGAGCTGGGGCAGGGTCCTATCCAGAGGGTTTCTGGAGGAGGTGTGTGCTGGGGTGCGTGTGAGAGAGTAGCTGAGAGGAGTTGGGAAGGTGGGGGCACCCAGGAGAAGGGTGGAGAGGTTGGAGCCCATGCGTCCTGTCTTCCAGACCCCACAACTCTGGGCTCGGAGCTCCAGGCAGGGTGGGGCTGGTACTTTCCTCTCTGCAGATGAGGTAGAGCAGGGCTTGGCTCCCACAGACTGAGTTTCCACTGTGTCCCCGTGCCAAGCCAGGCCAGGCGGGCCACTTGTCAGTGAGAGAGAGGTCAATTTTTGGGTCAAGAGTGAACATGGAGCAGGGAGGCCAGGAGGGCAGGGGCAGCTTCACAGCTCACGGATATAGCAAAGGGTATCACAGACATGCAAACCTGAGTCAAAAGATAGTTGTAAACCAAGCATAGTGGCACACACCTGCAATCTCAGCACTCAGAAGCTGAGGTAAGAGGATTGCAAGTTCTGACCCAGCCTGGGCATTCTAGCCACTTAGTGAGACCCTGTCTCAAAATTTAAAAAGGGCTAGGGATGTAACTCAATGTGAAGGCCTGTCTCAAAATTTAAAAAGGGCTAGGGATGTAACTCAATGTGAAGGCCCTGGGTTTAATCCCTAGTATCACACACACACACACACACACACACACACACACGCAAAGCATGAGCTTTCTTGGGCTATCCTCCACCCACCCCTTTCCCTCCAGGATGTGCCCTAGAGCTGTACCCCCTCAACAAGAGAAGAGGTGCCTAGCTGTGGCCCTGGCCCCAGACTGCAGACATTCCCAGTGCCAGGGGCAGGCCAGGCTGGGAAGCCCCGCCACCTGATGGGGGCTTTCCCGGGGCCTGAGGAAGACAGAGGTTCGGCTGTGCCTGTGCAAAGGTGGAAAGTACTAGAGCAGGTACAGACACTGGAGACCTCTGCCTTGGGGACGTGGTCTGCCTGTCAAACACCAGCCCCAGGCCTCGCAGGACAGCCAAGAGTGGGAGCTCATGGGTGGCACCCCGAAGGTTGGACTGACAGACTCATAATGTGGAACCTGTTTTTTTGCCTCCTGCCCCTTGTACCAGTTGAAGCGAGGAAGATGGTAATGCAGGGACTTGGGAACAGGTGATGGGAGAGCTGGACTATCAAACAGGGGCCAGCAAAGCACTCACAGGACCCTAGCACACCGCTGGGTGAAGGGATGAAGGGAGGAGCATGTGCCCAGGGCCAGGCCCAGGTCTCAGGTCTCTCTAAAGAAGCTTGAACTGAAAAAAAAAAAAGAAGCTTGAACTGAGCAGGCCTGGCAGCTCAGCCCAGTCAGAGTCATGGGGCAACCTGCTAAGGCAGAAGGAAGTATACACTTCTCTTTTCACTCAACCTGCAGCCTCCCATAGAGCAGACAGTTGGCTGAGTAGTGGACCCAGGGTTGAGAAAAAGGAGGGCTCTGAGCCAAGACAGGCACAATGGGGAAGTGCAGGCCACCCTCTTCCAGGCTGGTTCCTTCTGAAAACCTAGGGCTGGCTGAGTGTCTGTGGTAGGCTAGACTGCAGTGGGGCTTGCTGGGGGTCCTCTGTCCTCAGGTCCATGCAGCCTGTCATGGGCATGGGAAGTCAGGGGGAGTTTCCTGGAAGAGTCTGGCTCCAGCTGAATTTCTAAGGACAAAAATCAGTTAGGGAAGTGAAGTCAGGGTGGTGTCTCTGAGCCACTCAGCAGCCCACACAGCTCAGACCCATCTTTTAGCTGCATGCTAGACTACACTTCCCAGACTCCCTTGCAGCTGGGTGGTCATGCCCAGGTCTGGGTGGGGCAGAATGAGCTGAGTGGGGGAGCAATTCCAGCCCAGGCCCATCAAAAGCTCCCAGTGACACTCCCTCTAGGCTCTCCCCCCGCCCCGCTTCTGCCATTGCAAGCCCTGCCCCTTGGGTCCCTGCTAGGTCCATAGCATAGAGAATGATCCCCCTCCTCTCCAACACACACACACACACACACACACACACACACACACCCCAACATGTTCAATCATCTGGTACTGCTCCAGGATCAAAACTGTGCTTGTAATTCAGCTATAATACATTTGGGGCTCATTGGCCACAGTACTGGGTCCCTCTAATGATATGTCAGAGACAAACGTGTGAAAAACTGATTTGTGTGTGTGTGTGTGTGTGTGCCACTGAGGATTGCTTAGCCTCACACATACTAAGCACGTGGTTTATGACTGGCATCCCCAGCTCTTCTAAACTTTTGTTTTGAAGCACAATCTCCCTAAGTTGCCTAGCCTGGCCTAACTTGCCACCCTCCTGCCTCAGCCTCCCTAATAGTTGAGATTACAGGGATGTGCCACCACATCCAGCTGGCCTTACAGTCTTCATTAGTGTAGAAAATAAATATTATGGTACAAGGTTAAAACAATCTAAACTAATTAAGAACCAATTTACTGAACTAGTCTCCAGTTGGGCAGTGCTTCAAACAGCATTGTACTTTGTGAATAAGTTCAGGTTTGCCTGGAGGAGAAATCCACATGGCAGACTGGCTGGTTAATCAGCACACCCATTTTCCTCCACCAGTTGGACCCTCATTGACACCCACACCAGACCTGCCAGATAGCTTGTGTCCCCGTGTAGTTGCTGGCATATGGAGCTCTCACACTTTTTGTTCTTTGGCAGGTAGATGAAAAATAGCTTGAAGCTTGCATCAACTTGGCCAGACTGTGTGACATTTCCCAGCTTTCTCTTCTCTGCATGTTTCTGGTTAGTATGGGCCTCAAGAGAGATTCTCATGCAAGATGTGGCACCAGAGAGCCCTGCATCACATCCCAATCTGCTCAGTGCTACAATGCATGGCAAAAGGAAAGACATAGAGACAGAATTAAAAAAAACAGTTATGGGGAGCCAGGATGACCAGTGCTTGTGCAAGCAAAGGCCCTGAATACCCAGAGCCATCGATATTTATTGGTGACATCATAGTTAGATTGAGGTAAAGAGGCTATGTGGAATTGCTACGGTTATGTTGCTGATGCAGACAAGGCTTATAAAGGAAGAGACAAAGCATTCTTTTTTATTTTCTGAAGCATTCTTGAATTAGGAATGGAACAGACAAGATATAGGTTGTGGTTGATAGTTAACCTTGTCTTTTTAGTAAAGAAGTTTTTAACTTTGGGAATGGAATTTGGGTGCCAGTCACCCTGACCTCAGCTGCTATGTTATCTCATATTGAGCCCCACAACTTCACGAGTCATCTCTGGTCTCTGCTGTGAGCATTGGTGGAGAGGTTGTGCTAGCCTGTATGCCGCCCACGATGCTCCTATGAGTCACATAGGCTTCAGTTGGACTCACTTCTTAAAATAAGCCAATTGTGGGGTTACAGCCTTTACAGCCTGCTCTGCTTACAGCCTGCTTGGGACATAATCCATGGGGCCATCTCCATAATGTGGCAGATAGAAGTAAGCGGCACTCATTTGTGGAGCTTGCTCCTCACTGCTGTCTGCCGGAGCAGCGAATTGATGTGGGCAAAGCCCAGGCCTGCGACTGTTCCCTCTTCCCCGGGATGGGTCATTGGCTGGAGCGATGCTTGGGCCAGATAGATGAAAGGTCCCAGCTTCTGCGGGAAATCCTTGTCACCCACGACAACAAGAACAAATGTGAGTTACCGGGGATTTAGCTCAGTGGTTCTGGCACCTGCCTCGCAAGCTCAAGGTCCTG